GTTTTTTTGATACCCTGTGGGCTGTCTGTTTGTGTGCAGTCAGCTCATTCAATCCGAGGACCTTCTGAAACGAAGGTGCTGGTCTTGTCTTGCACAAGGCTATTTTTTTGAACAAATTTCCACAGAGAAAAAGTACAGTTGCTCAGTCCGTCATGGATCAACAACGCTTTTTACAGCAGCTTCAGATCGTCCTGAACCGTGAGTATTGCACCTTGCTTTTTGCTTATCTTGCGAAGAAGGCATTGCTGACTCTTTGTTTCAGCTTCCCAGGGCAATGTCAAGGAAGCGACGGGCGTTCTCCAGCGCGAGTTCTACAAGAGCCCCGAGTCTCTCGTTTTCCTCATCCAGATCGCCACCGGCCATGAGGATCCGAATTTGAGGCAGCTGGCGGCCGTCGAAAGTCGGACGCTGGTTGTCAAGCACTGGGTTTCCGTTCAGGCAAGCCAGAAGCCCCAGATTCGTGAACAGCTTCTGCGTGCTGCTGTTGGCGAGAGCTCCTCTCTCGTCCGCCACTCAGTTGCTCGTGTCATCTCTGCCATCGCCAAGATCGACCTGAACGATGGCGAGTGGGCTGATCTGCCCAACTTCTTGCTCCAGGCCGCTAGCACCGGTAACAAGGAAGAGCGTGCCGTGAGCATCTACATCCTGCTCACCATCCTGGAGACTCTGGGCGATGCCTTTGAGGAGAAGTTCGATGAACTCTTCCAGCTTTTCAGCAAGACCATCAGTGATCCCGAGAGCGAGGAGGTGCGCATGAACACCCTCATGGCCTTGAGCAAGCTCGCCATGTACCTCGACTCGGAGGAGAGCGTCGCTCCTGTGAAGGCTTTCCAGAACCTGATCCCCTCTATGGTTGCCGTCCTTAAGGATGTTATCACTCGTGAGCAGGATGACGGCATCATGCAGGGTTTCGAGGTCTTCCAGACTCTTCTGGGCTGTGACCCCGCTCTGTTGACCGTCCACCTCAAGGACCTCGTTATCTTCATGAATGAGCTGGCCGGCAACGTGGAGCAGGAGGAGGATGTCCGCACCCAGGCCATCAGCTTCCTCATGCAGTGCGTTCAGTACCGCAAGCTCAAGATCCAGGGTATGCGCATCGGTGAGCAGTTGACCCGCACGGCGCTGCAGGTCGTCACCGAGCTCGGAGATGCTTCCCCTGCCGATGATGACATTACTCCTGCTCGTTCTGCTCTTGGTCTCCTTGACATCCTCGCTCAGAGCCTGCCTCCCAGCCAGGTTGTTGTGCCCCTGCTTCAGACCCTGGGACAGTACTTCAACAACGGTAACCCTGACTACCGCCGCGCTGGTATCATGGCTCTGGGCATGTGTGTCGAGGGTGCTCCGGACTTCATCAGCACTCAGATGCAGGAGATCTTCCCCATGGTCCTGCAGCTGCTGGCTGACCCCGAGCCCAAGGTTCGCCAGGCCTCTCTGCACGCCGTCGCTCGTTTGGCCGACGACTTGGCCGAGGATCTCAGCCAGGAGCACGAGAGACTCATGCCCCTCCTCTTCAAGAACTTGGCCAGCGCCATGCAGGAGTACAAGGGTGAGGAGGATGGTCCTACCGTTGACATCATGAAGGCCGGTATCAGTGCGATTGACGCTGTTGTCGACGGTCTTGATGAGAAGGACGTTGCCCCTTACCAGGGTGAATTGGTCCCGATCCTTCACAACCTGTTCAAGCACCCCGATTTCCGTATCAAGGGCTTGGCTGCTGGAGCTCTGGGATCTCTCGCCTCCTCCGCTGGTGACTCTTTCCTCCCCTTCTTCGACGACTCCATGCACCTCCTCCAGGAATTCGCTACCGTCAAGGACAGCGAGGAAGAGCTCGACCTTCGTGCCAGCGTCACTGACGCCATGGGTGAGATGGCCGCTGCTGCCGGTCCTGAGCGCTACCAGCCTTATGTTGAGCCCCTCATGCGCGCCACTGAGGAAGCTCTTCACCTTGGTCACTCCCGCCTCAAGGAGAGCACCTACATCTTCTGGGGTGCCATGTCCAAGGTTTACGTTGAGCACTTCTCTCCCTTCCTTGATGGAGTTGTCAAGGGTCTTTTTGCTTGCATCGAGCAGGATGAGACCGATCTGGATGTCTCGCTTGGTGCCGCTGCCAAGGATCTCATCGGTCAGGAAGTGACCATTGGTGGCCGCAAGGTCCGTGTTGCCGATGCCGATGATGATGATGACGAGCCCACCGGAGAGGATGGTGATATCGAGGATGTTGATGTTGACGATGAGGACGCTTGGGATGACATCACTGCCACCACCCCTCTGTCCTTGGAGAAGGAAATCGCCGTCGAGGTGATCGGTGATCTTGTCACTCACACCAAGTCTGCTTACCTTCCCTACTTTGAGAAGACCATTGAGATGGTTCTTCCCTTGGCTGAGCACCCCTACGAGGGTGTCCGCAAGAGCACCATCAGCACTCTGCACCGCTCCTACGCCATGCTGTACTGCATTGCTGAGGAGAGCGGCCAGATGGCCAAGTGGCAGCCTGGTCTGCCCCTTCAGGTCCAGCCTGCCAAGGAGGTCCAGAAGTTTGGTGAGATTCTCATGACCGCCACTGTCAAGATGTGGACTGAGGAAGACGATCGGTATGTATTCCAAAATTTTCTTTCTTCAATGCCTATTCATGCCCGCCCTCGGGCTATCTTAAATGATGATCACCACGTTTACCCAGCTCACTCCGACACGCAAAAGTCGTGCATGATGTGAAACACGTTTACTCACAACCTTCTGATATCTATCTACACATTCGTTCTGCTGTATGATTTCATCATGGTTACAAAAGCTAACCAGAAGACAACTAGTGCTACTGTCGCCGACATCAACCGCAACATGGCTGAGAACCTGCGTTACTGCGGTCCTTCCTTGATCTCGAACGAGACCACCCTCCACAACGTGATCACCATGATCACTGACATCATCACCAAGAAGCACCCTTGCCAGCTCGAGTTCGGCCCTGAAGAGGAGACCCTCGAAGCCGGTGAGGAGACTTCTGAATTCGACTGGGTTGTTGTTGACACTGGTCTTGATGTTGTCTCTGGTATGGCTGCTGCTCTTGGCGCCAGCTTTGCCGAGCTGTGGAAGGTCTTCGAGAAGACTGTCATGCGCTATGCCGGCAGCACCGAGGCTCTTGAGCGCGCCACTGCTGTCGGTGTCATTGCCGAGTGCATCAACGGCATGGGTTCTGCTGTCACCCCCTACACCGCTAGCTTCCTGAAGCTCCTTGTCCACCGCCTTGGTGATGAGGATACTCAGACTCGCTCCAACGCTGCCTACGCCGTTGGCCGTCTCGTCGAGCACTCCGACGCCAAGGACCAGATCGTCAAGGAGTTCCCCACCATCCTGTCCCGTCTGGAGCAGTGCCTTCATATGAACGTCTCCCGTCTTCAGGACAATGCCACTGGCTGCCTGAGCCGCATGATCCTCCGCCACCGCGAGAACGTTCCCATCAAGGATGTCCTTCCTGTCCTTCTCACCATCCTTCCCCTCAAGAACGACTATGAGGAGAACGATCCCCTGTACCACATGATCTGCCAGCTTTACAAGTGGGAGGACCCCACTGTCCGTGAGCTCACTCCTCAGCTCGTCCCCATCTTCCAGGCTGTTCTCAGCGATGAGGACCAGCTGGAGGAGGAGCGTCGGGCCGAGCTCGTTGAGCTTGTCAAGTGGCTGAACCAGATGCAGCCTGGCGCTGCCCCTTGGGCTGACCAGCTGTAAAGGCAATGAAAAAAACAAAGGATGGATGACGACAGTTTGATGACCAAATACTACTTAATGGATAGATCGGGTCTCTCTACGAGGACTCTTATGGACGACGTTAGAAGATACCCCTGGGGAGCCAATGAGCGATGAACCCACAACTTATAGAATATGGCTGGACATGCTATGAATTATGAACAAAAGTGGTGTATATATTTATGAGTTAATCGAATTTCGATTCGTATGTTCCATGTTGCCTTTTGTAATGTCTGTAAGCAATTGAACTACCTCCTGTCGGTGGCATCTTTTGAGTCTATTCCATGGAAATCATGTGCCATGCCTCATGCTCCATGATGCTGGTTGATGTTCTCGTTTCCATAACTTGTCCTCAACTTATCTCTAAGTTGGAGCAGTCAAACATGATACTTGATTTTATGGGCCTACTGCTATTCTTTCCATTAATAGGTCAAGAACTGAGTCCCGTGTGATGTAAACGATCTTTAGAATAGTGAATCATAGAACTTCTGCTTCCTCTTTCTTGAAATCTAGTACTACTAGATATATATTAGTGGTAACGGGGAGTTGGCCACACGTATCCCACAGTTTATTTTCCGCATCGTAGATGCACCTTAAGTTCATAACGAAGCCCAACCACTGCTTACAACAGAGAACGATACATTCATTGCAGGACTCATCTAGGTATTAATGACACCTTTCGCATGACCTACCCGATCCTGTCGACGTCATTACGCAGATATTTTCCATTCGAAGCCTTATCACTCTGTAGAGATGTTCATATCTTTACTCTGGGTATGTATGAGAATGGGGCGTTGAATCAACCAATCCGATATTTCCCTTCTAAACATCCATTTCAACTATTCACACCATCACTCGATACTTCCTACTAGTTGCGTCCCTAGAAGGCAAGAAAAATGTCCACTGGTTTTATATCATTCCCACCCATACAATCCTTCCAAGACCCTCGAAACCCCACAAGAATAAAATATCCAACAATGGACCTCCTAGCCAAGCTTGAGATACTAGCTGTTACAGTTAACAACTAAGACAACGGCATCATCCTCGAAACTGCCTCTACCAATCAGTACTACAACCACACAACCCATCCCCTCACCACCTTCCACCCTAGGGACAAGAACTCAACCTTCCTCGTCAAGCTCGAGTGACCTCTAAGCACCCCATCTCAAGTCCAAGAGCTGTCCAAGTCTCTCACAACCCCCGTCCTTAAACAAGCAGTGGGCAGAGCCTCCACTACTAATTTCTGTCTCATCACCGACGCTATGAAGTTCAATATTGTCTCCGCTCTCGCAGGGAGTACATTTTCTGCGACATTTGTTCGAATCAACCTCTCCCCAAAAGATCTCTCCGCACATAGCATCGCCCCAACCCTGGGTAGTGATTTAGACCCTACCCTTCCGCAGAACCGAGCTGCCGATGCCGATGAGGTGTTTCTTCCGAAGCAGGGCGAGTACCCCATGTGGTATTTCTTTTATGAGAATCTGGCTGTGCCGGAGATTCTAACTGAAAGGCTGGGGTTGGATGAGAGCCCGACGTATCAGAAAGCAGTGGTCAAGGGAGGTATTTTGAGGACCTGGGGAGGGGGCAAGTATAAGGCTTTGGTTGAATGGAGGATGCGTCGGCGAGGGTAGAGGGGTGGGCGTATGAGGTGGGATCTGAGGAGGATGAGGAGGATGAGGAGATGAGGAGATGCTGAGGTATTATGAGACGGATTGCTATAAGGTGGTGAGGTGCGATATTTGTATGGTGGATGTTGGAGAGGTTATTAAGGGGCTGGTGTTTAGGTTTGTGGGGGATCTTGGTTAGGATTTGCCTTGGTAGGGTTGTTGGGTGTCCTTTGGCATTATTTTTGGTATCTGAATATCTGTATCTTTGTCGATTCTTCCAACCATTTTGATCTTGGAGATGCAACTCGGGTTGGTCGAAGTGCTTTATCTTCATCTAGATATCTAGAAACGTCACGGGTTCGGAGGTTTTGGGATGCTTGCACCTTCTTTCTCTGTCGAAGTACATACTACCATTACTACTACACCCCTACTTCCTTCCAAATTAATTTGGGCCTGCCTGTTTGCCCGTCTAGGTATGCGATGTAACATTTAAGACTGTATACAGGCAGGGAGGGGCCTAAATCATCCAAGTCGAGTCGAGTCTCTTATTGTGAACAAGAAAGATAAATGGCGCCTAATTGTCTAGCCGGTCCTTTATCACGCTGAGGTCACGACGTCACTATTAGAGGCTCATTACTTGTTCTATTGGGTACAATGTACACTCATAATCACATCATCGTGACTGTCGACTGCCTAGAGAATACTTCCCTCTACCGCACAATCGTTCGCCTCCATCCGACCTCTCATTTCGCAGTTATCTTTTATCCGCTTTGTAAGAAGATTCGGAGCCAAGTACTTCATCATAGTCTTCACCGTCTCTGCTCTCCGCAGCATCATCTACAGACTTTCTCCGTCCCTTGATTCTCTTCCTCGGATATCGGAGTTTCAGATTGTCTTGTCACCCTGGAAGGGCACCTATCTTACCTTTGACCAAGCCGAGACGGCTACAATGGCCTCTGCAGACAACTCCAATCAACTTAAAGCAGCTATTCCAAGCCCTGCGCGCGAGCTTCGTGAACCAAAGCGGCATGGCTTGATCGCACAGCTGGTATGTGCTGCAAAGCTCACCGAGCTTGATTCAATCACCTGGGCTTGTTTGTGGTTTGCGGATCTCTCGATTTTAGAAAGTTTCGTGTTATTCTGTGGAAGGGATTCACTGTTACGTTATATGATGCACCGCAATCTCTCGAAGAGTGAGGATAAAACACAAGTAATTGATGCCTGTAAGTGGGGTTTGATACAATGCAAACAGACTTAGGCTAAGACACTACCAGGGGCGGTTTCACGACCCAAAGAAGAATTGGAAAAGGCCTATGAAGACGAAGAATCAGATACCGAGGGGCCTCCGATCAAGAAGCGTCGGTTGACTTTGAACACAGAGGAGAGTCCCAGTTCTGCAGAAGAAGCAGCCACTCATTTAGCCAATAGACTAGTAAGTCGACTTCACATGTGATACACCAGGTCAGTTTTTCACTAACTTCAGCAAGTGCACTGAGCGAGATAATGCCACTTGCGTGGTCACCGGTTGCCGTGATCTGGTCGAAATCGCACATATACTCCCCAACGGTCTTGGAAGAGAGGGTGATCAAGCACTACAGCAATTTTGGTTTCCTCTGCACCATTTCTGGAGCAAAGAGAGAGTCATGGCATGGATGAAACATGCTGCGGGCCCAGAAGCCACAGAGGCCTGCTCGAACCTTCTGTGCATGACGGATATAGCCCATAAACTATGGAAAAAAGCGCGCTTTGCTTTGAAACCGCTGTCCTTGAGTGAGGATCGGAGGTCACTTGAGGTGCAATTTTACTGGCTCCCAGTATATAACTACCGTTCGAGGATTCCAGCAACTGAAATCCCCAGTCGCATATCTCGCAAGCTCTCCGGAACAGCCGTTGATGGAAAAGAAACCATGCTTTTTAATATTGCCACAGATAAGAAACTATGCTCTGGGGATATTCTTACCTTCACAACAAAAGACCCGAACAGTCACCCTCTTCCATCAATGGAGTTGCTAGACATGCAGTGGGTCCTAAATCAAGTTCTTGCCCTCAGTGGTGCCACCTACGCCACAGACGAAGAGCTTTATCCCGATTCCTCGTCGAATGAGGGCTCATTTTGGGATAGCGAGGAAGGTTTCTGATGTGCACAAGTGGAAGACTCTGCGGGAAAGAATAGGTAGTCATCCCAACTAGCCTATCACATTATTGTTGCTGACTACTAGAAGCAGACGTAGAAAATATCTACCCCCACAGTATAACAGAAAGAGAACGAATATTCCTAGCTTCATCAGCAGACCACACATAAAATCTTTCCTGCAAACTCTAGCCAGGTGGATGTCTACCGTATCTAAATTCTCTCAAAGTATATTCTATCATCCAGACAACATGCTGGAGAGTAGAAAGGGTAGGTTTCTCTTGCTGGAAGAGGCTCTGGCGACAATATCTACCGGCAAATACCGCATCCACCACGTAAACCAGGGCCGTCACGTAAACGGACTTTGCCGTCCAGATTATGAGAGACGTAGCCGCAGAAACCCTATAAAGTCCTTCCAGTCCGCTACAGCTAAGGTAGCTATTTAGACAAGCAAATGCTTGACAAATATATCTTCTCCTTTGTATTCGTCACATCAATCAAGAGAGATGAATAATGAATTTGGCATAACCTGCTGCTAATTTCCTCCAGATGTCAGCAGCCTAAGCACTTGTTACAATGAATATCCCAAACCTTCACTGCGGATTTCGCGTATCGCCTCTATCACTCTACAATCGTTGAATATTGCCCCCTTCAATCTGTGCCTCTTCCCTGGGCATGGTATACCTTCACGGTTTTGAAAGTCACAAGTCTGATTCACCGTTCTACATTCGGTCGTTCCTATAAATTGCCCATCTTTCCTCTCAGAGCAACAGATTTCTTTCCTACAACCTGCCAGGTAGCTACAGGCCTACCTTCATACTATTTCTTCTATACAGCCTCATCAATTTTCTTGTTTTTCATTGGATTTTCACATATACCATGGGAGTATTAATTTAGAAAAACCGAAATTACTTGATGAAGATGAAGACTACAGCCAATATATACAGAGGAAAAATAAAGCGTCCTTTCTCCCAAAAAAAATCGACCCGGAGGTAGTCGATACCACACTAGGTAAAGGAAGAAGGTAAAAAGATGAGTATATGCTCTTCTTGAATATAGCTAGGTACATGGCCGTCTCTGTTACCCCCTGTCGCACGTGCCCATTTGACTAGATCATGCAGATGTTCACTGGCACAGCGCAGGCCGTTTTAAATGTCATGTTGGAGATCAGCTGTGGCCCCCATTCGAACGTCAAGTTCAAGACTGTGTCCTCGCCTCTGATGATCCCGACGTCCCAGTTGCTGTCGGACAGCCAATCCCGGTCCATTAGATCTCATACAGCCGATTCGAGATAGTTCTCCGCGAGAATTGTGACCATGAACCATATCCAGAGAATAATTTTATGGAATGGGATGGTCCTCCTAGAGTGATCACTACCATTTAATGACTTCAGTTGGGCCGTCTTTGAGTGTAAGACAAGGCTCAATTTTACAGGCAGACTGCATCCACTATAGTCCCCACGACGCTGCTGCTGCCGAAATAGCCGCCCAACTGTTGTACTTTACCGTAGGGCTAAATACATCAAACATTTTGAAAATAAAGAGATCATGACGCGTGCAGCTTGCCTGTCCCTTTATGGTGAAGGATACAACCCTCGAACTAAGCTTGTGAGTGACCCGATTTTGCCAGATGATTGAATTAAAGCTAATATGAAATAGGGGCTATGCGCGTTAGAAGCCCTACACGACCTGACAAAGGCTCGACTGGGTCGTGTAATAAGTCATGAAGGACCAGCACCCTCATCGATATAACGCTAAAACTTTTCTCTGATACTGGTGGCCCGGTGAAGGTCCCACCAAGTTCTAAGCGCCTTGGAAAGACCAAGTGGGGTGTCGAATCACATTTTTCAGGTACAGAAAGCGCCTTGCTCAGTATAAGCATTGCATTGCAGGATTGATGTCGCACTTTTCCCCTGTCTCATTTTCAAAGCGTCTGTGTCTGAGCCAAATATGCAGCTTACACAAATAAAGGCCTATGATACAATGCTATCATCTTCCGAAACAGTACTCTGTAGGTGTATAGCACTATATACAATATAGCGTCCTAGATGGACGGGTGGCGGCTAGACAGCTTCGAAAATCAGTGATGCAGTTATCGATGCATCCAAGTTCGCTTTCACGGCTTTGATAAAGCCCTCAAGGGATATATCAGCCAAAGAGATTAGCCGAGTACAATGGCTCTGCCAAAATTGGACCCAGTACTTCGAGGCTGAAGGCTTACAGCTTCAGCACTACGGTTGTGTTGGTCCCGAAGGCATCAGACAGTACACCTGAGAATACTGTGCTCCCTGGGATTAGGGGCAAAAGTAAATACTAGTTATACTAGTAATTACCAACATGTTCCAGTTTTCCTCAGTACAGGATCTGGTTTGGAACAATGTTCCAAGCATACCTCTTCTATCTCTAGAAACTTGGGGGTTTGTTTGAGATACCCATAAGGGCAGTAGAGTGTCCAATTGGAAAGATCACGAACTTGACGTCAATAATCATGCAAAAGATGCAAGAAGCGGCGGAGATTGGAATTCTCCAAGCCACTGCGGGTCATTGCTTGCCTAAGTAAATATGCTCATCGAGACAACCTCGGGTTTATGTCCTACCTCAAGATATGGTATAATGTCGGAATATCTTCCTGGCTTTTCGAAGATGAAGAGCACCTATTGAGTAAAAATATTAATGAAGTCAATCATGAGTCTGAAAAGGTATAGGTGTCTAGGGGGACAAGGATTTTGAGTCAGGAAATCTACGGTTGCAGACCAGATTCTCTTAGGGATCTGCTCAAAAGATACCATTGGCTTTGATAATTCGGAAGGCACACTTTGGTGTTCATCTGAAGACATGGGTTTAACAAGGAGAGAACAGGGCTCGGGCACCAAGGACTACATTTTATTGGTAGACGGGAAATCCCTGTCGATAATACAAGCTGTACTTGCAAATCAGCTCGGACAAGCTGACTTCATATTGAGCATTGAGTAACCTCCCTACCAGCTTGGAAGCGTCACACCGTCTCGGAGTAAAGCCAACAAAGTGACGAGCTGACATGGGGGGTTTCCCGACCAAGATGGATCCTCTTTCCAGCCGTCAATTTATTTTCACCTTGTACATTTGTGGTAAATTTGGCATTTCATCTGGGGTCTGCCATGAGGTAAGAGCCATCTACATAGAACGCAACAGGAAGAAAAGTTGAGAGCCAAGATCAGGCTTAGCCTCGTATCAATGATGCGAGTAAAGTCGCTATCGGGGATCTAACGGAGGTAAGACCGGGTTCATTTTATAATGACTTCATAAAGAGAATTGATATCTGGAATTTTCCTGGATTCTTTAGCACTGTCCCACGTCCAATGTTGTTGTGTGATCGCCTTTGTGATCGTGTCGCTACCTTGAGTTACCCTAGATTTCCATATCTTGGAAGGGTTTGGGGGTTTCTGGAAAATGCCTTTGTAGAATTGCATGATCGCAGATAGTATGTTGGTCGTCTGGATCCCGCTAGATCTATATAAGGGCCCACCCTCATGGTTGAGTTTGCATCCGCTGCCCATAGTACTAACTACTATACTACTATTCCCAGCGCCGCTTGAGCATCTCAATTTTTCAATTTATTTAAGATCCTTGCCTTTTTTAAGTCAGATCTAGCTGAGCATATGACCCTACCTGTGCTGTGTTACTCTGGTCGGCTGGGCTTTTAAATAGTGACTTCACATTGTGACTTGGAGCATTCTCCCCACTGTGTCGCCTGCCTCATATACTTGTCTTTCATAAGTTTTCAGCCACGAAGCTATTCAACCTTTCATTCCCGCATGGTCGTTCAGGCATCCATGGAAATGGGGTCCTCCATCACCTACACTGACTTCCAAGCCACGCTCCGGGCTGTTGTGGAGCAGAGAAGCCAGCAGTATCAGAACATCTATTCGATTGCTGTGAGATGGGAGCTGGATGATACAAATGCCGAACTAGATACCGCGCACTTTCAAAGCATGCTGAAGAATTTCGGTACTAATCCAGCTGAGGTTCTGGTTCTTGGTTCTGATGATGATTACCCTGTATACACCTTATCAAGAGCCTGGCTCAATTTTACAGCGAAAGCGAGACTCAACAACGAACGCAACTTGATAATATTCCATTATGCAGGCCACGGAACGACCAAGAATGGGTCTTTCAATATTGTGGAAAACATGAGCGAAGAATCAAAGACTGCCAATTTCGAAAGGGCTATCCTTGCAGACGTCAAGGACCCGAAGGGGTTCTCGGATACTATCGATATCCTGTTCATCCTTGATTGCTGCTATGCTCATTACACAACCCGAGCACCAAAGACTACTCGCAATGTTATTGAGATTCTTGCAGCAACAAGCTCCCAGACAGTCACAGCAAGATCCGCACCAAATAACACTTTTACAGCGAAACTGGCTAACGAGATTGCTCGAAGGAAGAAAGCGCATCATGAAAGTGTGGAGTTTACCAGCGTGTTTCAAAGCCTTCTCACCCGATCATCGACTATAGTGAGACCCACGCATGCCTTGCTCGTTGGTGCAGCTTCAGTTAACATACCACTCAACGGACATAGAACGGTAGACCCGCGAACTATTCCCGCGGATTACAACGCTCTTTTCGCTGTTAATGTCTCAAGGGATATCACAAAGGAAGAGCTACAAGAGCTCAGCACATGGATGCGGAAACTGCCATCGTTCGCGGGATTGAAGATAGAGAATATCTATCACACTCAATCTATGTGCTTGATTATGCGTGCTTCATTTTCGGTCTACACCAAGTTACACAATATGCAAGGATACAATCTAATTGCGGAAAATCCTAGTCCGGCGCTAACTCATCTCTTGCAATCTGAGCTGTCTGAAGAACCTGCTTCTCCTCCTTCCCAGCAGTCCATGATGTCTGAAAGGCGCTAGGTTTGTCCATGAGATACACCCGCGCTCTGGTTTTATATTTCTTATTTTAGTGAAATGAGGTTCCAAGAGTGTCCAAGAATTATGGGAGCGAATGATTCGACGATACGCTAATTATTGATCAAATATAGCATTGATTTCTTGAATTTACAGTCTGCTTGCTTCTGTTTGTGATAGCTGAATATCATATAAATGAATTATATAAGCTTCATGAATCAAATTCGTATATAACTTTATATGTCCAACATCTGATTCTAGGGATAGTGAAACCCCAGTCGACAACGGAGTCATGTCTGGAGAGCCATACCAGTTCAATGGCAATTTAATTAGAGTAAGATTGTATTCTATTTGGCTTTGATTTATTATATACTGACCCAATTCAGCGCACCAATTCTCCACGATGATGCCTCCCACTGTATGTGCCCACCATGGTGATCTGGCGTGGGCCAACTCAACATTCGTGCGTCTGGTAGATAAAGCTACCGTCAGACGCTTGAATGTCTCAAAGCGGTAGCATGAGATGATTCAAAAGCAGATCCCTGCAGTGTATCATACTGATCAAGTAGGGCGTTGCATCAACAAAGCTGTCAGAGCGTTGGGCCGTGCGCAAAAGGTTGGGATCGTCAGGCTGGGTATAAGGCATAAACTCTGTCTAGACTCGTTGTATCTCAGTCTTATGAATGTCATGATGTTGTGAGAAGGATGCCAACCATGTAACATGCTCCTATTCACGTACGCGGACTGCCAAATAAAGACGTGCGTCTCGTCCTAGCCATCCAGTTCATGGAGAAGATTCAAGTGTGGGATACCGAGGTGGTTGGGGAATGTGTCGTCGCGGCAGAGACCCTTTGATGCAAGCCTAATGTTTTAGGAGAGCTCACTAGCGACGCCCAGCGGCCGTGGGAGGAAGTACGCAACAGATCAGGAGATTTCTTTTCTGAAAGATGAGGATTTCGAAAGAGGCGGTGCAATAAAAAAAGAGATAGGCACGTTACCAACATCCCATTCTCCCCTCGGATATATGATATTGTAGGACAAGAGTACGGCCCAACAGTTGGTGCTTTTCCTGAGTCGGAAGCCTTGGCTGTTTCTGTCTTGATAGTTCACATTGATGATTGATGAGATTATGGATTATTGGGCTTGCGGCCGGAAAAGAATGAGGCACACAAGTATACTTAGCTATACATATTTGATGGCATATAAAGATAAGTGAACTGCTTATTACGACATAGCTCTCACATCACGGTACAACCTGTAGTTTTGACTTGTAAAAGACACTCTGTCCATCGATGAGAAAGACCGCTTGCGTGCAAATCAGTGTGCCAAGCCATGACTGATTCCACTGAGAGCTTCATTCCTGGGGAGGATCTGTATGTCCAACATAAAACGGATATTTTGACTTCCTGGTCAAACTATACTGAACTCTCATCCATAATAGACCTCTTCAGAAGGCAATGAAAACATTATCAGGACCGAAGGTTTGCCCAACTCGTTGTCCTTGTTGTTTCAAAGTCATTCACAGAGCTGTATCGGGCCCTTTGATCAGCGCCTGAGCTGCTACATCCAAAAGGTGCCGTGAATAATCCTGAAAAATAGTACCCTAGGTCAGCTGTGGTAGGCCTAGCTTAGGATCAGACTAATGTGGATACCAGAGTTTGAATGGACGAAAATCCGGTGTCAGAGCTTAAGCAGGTGGGAAGCTCGGCCTAATTTCTTGTTGTATACCCGGAGGCCCGGCGGTAGAAACTCTAAGCCAAGTTGCTGTCCGATCTGCACTTGGTTTGCGCAAGTCGCTGGTTTTTACATTGCATGGGTCTGAAGAAGTGTCAATCAAACTGGACGCTTGGAACGATGAAAGTATGCCAGGTCAGCTGCAGTGCGACATATCCATACTTAAAAGCCTGCTAGCACGCCGCGATGAGGCGCAAAGCTCATGAAGTGGTATTCAATTCTTTGCTTCTAAGCCAGATCCGCAACTCTCTGATCATATAGTCCAAAAATGCAACCTTCTACAGTTGACCTTCTGTCTTCAGACCTATTCAAGCATCGTTATGAGGAAGGGCCTCGGGATGCTCATCTGGGACGCTCGTATCTGCGAGCCAAGGCCTTTGCTCGATTCTGGCGTATGTCTTTAGTTCCATTTCGCTTAACCATGCAATCTGACAGTCTCTCAGAATTGACCCCGGACGATGTTCTCCGATTTACACCAAAGTTTCGACACGCACACACTGACGGCATTATACTTCGGGATATAGCCGCCCAATCTGCGTTCAGTGTTCACTACAATCTGGTGGGAGGAACCATTGCCTCGCTGGCCCCGAACCGCCCGGACCTTCAGCCGTTATTGAAACAAATCTTCGACTTTGATGTTGTGTATGCGACCTCTCAGTAGGCTGCATAGACATTGCTGATATGATTGTGAGTAGTGCTAGTTATATGATGACGGAGGCTGGGCACGGTTGCGATGCGAGAAATCTCGAAACAGTTGCCATATGGCAGTCTGATGGTAGCTTCATTCTTGACACACCAACACCTGCCGCAAGAAAGTATGGTGTCATTGTTCCATGTTCAAGCCGAAGTATACTAAGATAAAGAGGCTCATGCCGCCCTCTGCACCTTTTGCAGGGATACCACGTATAGCGCTTGTGCTTGCGCGCTTGATACTCGAAGGAGAGGACCGAGGCACCCGACAGTTCATCGTTCCGATTAACGATGGGCGACAGATGTATCGGGGAATTAAAGCATGGTCGGTACTCATTGCGTTCACCAAAAGACCTTAATATAACAATGTTAGGGGGCTTCCAGCTCCTGGAGCCGGAAGGCTACTAGATTTCGTCCTTACATCCTTCGATCATGTCCATCTCCCGTCAACCGCCATATTGGGAGACCTTACAAGACCTTCCAACATGCGTGATCAGTATCTCACTGCTGTCGATCGGCTGAGCACAGGCACACTAGCCGTCAGTCTATGGACCATTCCCTTTTTGAAGGGTGCCGCTTTTACCGTGGGCAAGTACAGCCAGCGTCGCACAGTTCAGGAAGGACTTCATGGCAAAAGAGTCCCGATCATCTCTTATAGAACTCAGCAGCTACCTATTGCACACGCTTTGGCTGAGGTTGCTGTACTAGCGCCATTTGCGGATTGGGTCATTGAGCAACGTAGAAGCCCTTCCATAAGTCCTGGACTCAAACATGCGCTCAGTATTATCTTGAAGGTCGTTCTCGTTCAACATGGAAGCGAAAGCCTCAAGCAGTTGAACGAAAGAAGTGGTTCCAGGGGAATGTTCCCTACTAACGGTCTTGTGGAACTGACATGGTCTTTTTAGACTTATGTTCGAGCTAGCGCTTCAGCAGAAGGAGAAATCTTAGTCCATTCCATTCGTGAGTGATATTCCAGCTTTCAGATATCATATCTATGCTGAATGCCTCATAGGCTCTGCTACTGAGTTGCTTTTTGGCCGGTTCAGGATACCCGATGCCAAGACGCCAGACTCCCTTTTGGGACGACACGAGGCAGGGTTCATTGCTGAGATGAAAGAGTCCTTGAAGAGGGCCAAAGGCCATAGAACTCCTGAATATAACAGTCTAGTACTACCCCGTTGTCGTCCCATGCTTCTGGCTATAGGCCAACGGATGGCGTATGAGGCAGCCGTTGATGCGGGTGTTGATCCCAATTTTCTGGCGCTATATGAAGCCGGAGCGGTGAGGAACGACTCAAGTTGGTATGTGGAGCAGCTGAGGCTCAGTAGGGCATCTCAATATGATATGGAGTGCCAAGCGTGCGATAGTGTAATGTCGCAGCTAGATAGGCATTTGGACGAATTGGGTATCGAGCCGTACTGCACCGCCCCAATGCTGTCGCCGGCTAGATGGGAGACTTTCATCAATACCTGCCCTATATATACGGGAGACGCAGTCCCTAGCCTGGTTTATGGAGATAGCCGAGAGCACAGACTTTGAGAGTATATAATATTCCACAATCTGACTGATTACTGCGTGTGAAGCTGAGAGAGCAGTGGACGTGAAGTAAACGGATGAAGGAGTCAAAGTGGAAGTGGAGAAGAGATGGGCGGTGGATCTTTGCTGCCTGAGCTGATCGGCTCGGCTAACCCCAGAAGGGTCTAGTGGGTCCTGAGCTGGTCAGTGACGTTGATGGCGCTTCTCTTTTCTGCCTCGACTTTTGGCTCATCTCTGGTTCTTGGTCGAGCTTCGTTCCTGATCCTTTCTTCTTCTCAAGTGAAATACAAGAGTCGACTCTCATCCTAATATTCTACAACTACAAATTCTCAAACCCCAAAAGCACTTCACGATGGCTGCCTCGTCCGTTTCCGCCGCTGTCAACTTCACCCTTCCTTCCTCCAGTTCTGGCTCTTCCATTAAGCGACCTATCAAGACAGTCTCTAAGCCTTGTTTTGGCTGCGACTGCGGAGATGAAGAATGCGATTGTTGCGTTTGCACTGTGATGTGGTATGTCAATCAAAAACCCGAGATTTACAACAAGCATCGTTAGTAACCCCCATTTTTGCAGAACCAACGCTCGCTATTTTACTGGCCATGTCTATAACATCCAAATGGCCTGTGGGCTATTTGCCCAATCTGATGATACATACGACTTTCATTGGGCGCACTCGGGAGTTTGTCATGGGCTGTCGGAGGCAGGGCGTGCATCCATTACTGATGCCACCCCTTGCCATCCACGTTGATACATTTTGATTTGGCTATAGCAAAATTCTTAACACAGATTAATTAGTCTGCTTCGAAATTCCATCTTCCAAGCCGGGCTATCCAGAATTTGCTCTCAATCCCCTGACTAGTGGTTGTAAGGTCTACGGCGAGCCTCACGGTCAAGGCCCTGGATACTTTGATGCATATCTTACAATCTTCCTGAATACAGGCTGAAGTATGAACGAAATTTCCCATATTTTCCTGCCGTATGATTCATTGAGATGTGGCACCAACTAGACAACAGCAGGGGACCCTAGACTAGCGCCGTCCGGATGGTCTAAGGCTAAGCAACGATGGGTTTAGCATGCCTGTCCAGCCACAATAGGCTGCATACGCGAGTCAGTATTAGACATCTTGTGAGGGGAAACAGTTTGACCCTAAGTCCCAACAACCATAACACCCTTGGGGCAGCATCCTTCTCGCTTGCTTGCGCTCCACGTATCCGGAGCTACATCTTCCACAAAAGGATGCCACCTTCACGCATCGGATTTTCGCATAGTCACACAGCAAATCAGCCATAGAGTACTCAAGCTTCTCAAGCACACATGTCATCAGGTTCAAGCGGGAAATATCTCCGCCCCGTTGTTCCGAGATAAGCCACATTCCCAAGCGCCGACGGGTCTAAATTTGGGTGGTCCGAACGAACTAAGCAATGCGCTAACACTACCGCCGTCTCAACTACGGCATGATATAACGAAGCAATGCACTTTTTGGGTAAAGCACGTTACACTGGCGCAAGGCTATAGGAGGGGAGGTGGCTACTTTGACTGATTTGGGTGAGGGGGGAAATATGGACAGAGCACAGCCGCATAATAACAGTTTCTTGTCTGCATAATCATACTCAGTGGCCTACCTCTGAATCTGCCTTGCTTATCCCTGCCATGGCTGGTCTATATAAATCACCCACATTCCCTCTTGGTCGATCTGCCCATTCGCGAAATTTCAACGCTATTTTTCGACACAGAGACAACTATGACATCTCCCTTCTCCACTCCTTCGTTCCCTCGAAACGTCCCATTATTTTCACACCTGACATCAGACGACAATGACGAGACTTCCGACTCTCCTTCGCCTACCGATGTGGCTACTAGTTCGAGTGACCCTGCTCGACCTACAAGCCCCGGGAATCGAAGCCCTTCGGTTCGAATTGCAGCTAGGCGGGAATTTAAACGAAGAGTGGCTTCTGTAACCTCAGCTGAACATATAGAACGCCCAGGAAACTCTACGTCACCGAAGTCTATGACAGTACAGCAATACATGTTAAATTCCGATCCGACTAACCAGAATTTAAACGCTCTGCGGCGACTAATGGCCGGCTCTCCTTCTTCTCCATCACGATCACGTGAGACACCAAGAATCAGCAGTAGCATTGTGAGTGCTGCCGTATCACCAGGAATGAATGATGTATTTCAGGATGCTGTAGAGGAACAGATTCAGGGTCCTGCAGAGGGTGACAAACCAAAATTTACGACAGAGGCTATTCTTTCTAACATGCACAACATCATTCGGGGTCATTACAACGAAAACAACAAGGGATATGCTTACGTTTACCGAGACAGTAAGGATGAATGTCAGCGCTTCAAGATTGGATCGACGGATCGGCCAGAAGACCGCAAAAAAGAGCTCGACAAGCAATGCAAACTCAAGGACTGGGAGTTGGTACAGGATCCTAAAATGCCTATCTGGGAGTATAAACGACTCGAAAGGCTTGTCCACAGTGAGCTGAAGAACTTGAAATGGGATTCCATTTGCCCCGGTGATGGTATGAGACATCGAGAGTACTTTTATGGCTCAAACGCTACTGCCTCTGAGGTCTTAGGACGCTGGTCGCGGTGGCTAGTAGATCACGAGCCATATGACAAGAGCGAGCTGAAACCTTTCTGGTCCGATCGCCTTGAATGTTTCACAGCTAACAAGATGGCCTCGTTCTATTTCAACTGCAGGAAATCTACATGCTCACAGCGAGATTCCAGTCCCGTTGCTTGCCAGGAATGTCTCCAGATAGGATGGAAAGTGTGGACAGAGCCAACGACATTAGACAAGGTTAGGTACTACTGTACTTATTATGCCAAGGCCGTATGGGAGCGCACACCCACACCGTCAACCTGTTTCTTCCTTATGGTGTGGGTCAGATTGACTGCGCCGATGATCCTTGCTCTTTTGCATAGTTCCGAACATCGTCCAGGGTTAATCGTGACTGACATTATTATATGCATATGCGCCCTCTTCTGTCACCTTTCCCAAAACAAGGCACCACAGGGCGAATTTAAGACGAAGTACACCGGTCAGAGAGCTACGTCAGCTTCGGGACAATCCAGTATATCTCCAGGGGTGTCCTCAACCAGACATGGCCAAGAAGATACTCCTGCAAAAAAGAGAAAGCGAACATAACATTCTCGAGCGATTCAGGAACCTCGGTCTGTCGCTGCACCAAAGGAAACAGAGTCATTTTGGCGCATATAGAATGTTTTCGGTCAGCGCATCCTGTCATGCCATGGGAAACTAGCAGCTCGACATTCGCTCCGGTTAAGAACAGGGCAAGTCGGAAAACAAGGTCCGTTCCATTTCGTAATAGGCACGATGTTGAATACAGTGATCTACGCAACACACACCACTATCATCGGCGTGGATATACTCCATCCATAGTTGCAGCGACTGTTCATGAAACTAGGTTGTCACACGAACACTGAGCGACGGTCATGGCGGGTTAGAGCTTAGCTCCGAGGTTATGCTAGGATACCCACCCGCGATGATGTCAATAGGGATATCCGGCCCACCCGGATGCTTGCAAGGCACGGCTGAGGAGGCTCGACCTCGCACTGTATCTGCAGATCGGGATTTGTGATATCGGATCTCACTCAGGAGCCAGGAACAGCGAGTCCCGAAAGAAACTTCCAGTTATTGTGGAGAGACCCATGACCCTGGGTGTTGACGTAGGCGGTCCGTCACCTGACAGCCAACCCAATTGCAGCTATCTTAACTTGGGTTCCACCGGAAGGTTCGTCACAATCCTTGTCTTCTTATTCTTTTCGACTTTATTAGGCGGTGGTAGCTTGTATTTCGTCGTGGTGGGCACCCAGAATTGCGTTGTGCCGAGCAATACTATATCTCTTTCCACGTCAACCACACCCGACTGGCCGAGCAACTCAAGTTGGTCTTGGTTTTACTAGAAATGCAGCGACTGCGCCATATTTACAAACTAGCTTATTTCGCAATTAACAGTCAATGAGCGACGAGCACCCAAATGGCTTCGGACAGCCATTCTTCATTGTGACATGGGTCGAATTTGGGTTGGCGATCATCTTCATGATCGCTCGATGCGTTGCTGCGTCCAAACTGATTCATAATGTGGCGAAAGACCTGTATTTGGCGATAGCAACATTTGTGAGTACTCTTCTACCTCAGCTTACCATATTGCTGCTAATATCGATGCGACAGATCCTGGGAGCTGCAAGCATGGCGATGATCACTGTCGGAGCTACATACGGGCTTGGTCTTCCGCAAGACATGCTAACATTCAACGAGAGCAAGATGGCACTACTATATGGCTGGGTTAACCAATTGATTGCCCTGGTTGCGATTGGGTTGGGGAAGCTTACCATTGTCGCCTTTCTCGAACAAGTCCAAGGTTATCAGACCAAAGCCAGAAGCATATTTCTTTGGTCTTTGGCGGGCAGCAGCCTCGTCGTGAACTGTGTCGCTGCCATCCTCATGATGCTTCAATGCTCGCCGAGGAGGATGCTGTGGGAGGCATATGCTAAGGGGTATTGTCCTTATCGCAGCCGTATACAGATATTCGGTTATATTCAAGGGCGTGAGTGTATTTTCTCGCTTTCGTTGATTTATGTCTAACATTGACAGCTTGGTCCGCTGTTTGCGACTTTGCACTCGCGTTATATCCAGTTTCTTTCCTTGCTCGGGTCCACGCTTTCTCGATAGCGACTCGGATCGGTCTCTGCGTACTGATGGGATTTGGCGTCGTGTACTGCATCTCCCCTTTTTATCGGATGAACCAATGCTGACTTAGAATAGGGCAGGGGCATGTGCAATAGTAAAAACTGTTCAATTGACTATTCTGACGAAAATCGAAGATCCGAGCAGTGAGTAGTACTGTTCGTCCACGACTACATGAGAGCTAACAGACGTAATAGAACAGATCGGAACAGTCATTGTTTGGAATCAGTGAGTAGCACTCATCATCTCTATCTCGCCATAGGTATCGCTCTAACGACAGATTACAGAACCGAAATGTGGGTCGTATTCATTGTCAGCTGTATACCACCTACGAAAGTGTTCTTCAAGCATGTATATCGCCGAAGTTCTATCCGGCTAGGCTCATTTGTGGACCAATTGCGGCCACGGGAACAGGAGACGAAGCAGAATGAGTCGATACAATCTAGCTGTTAAGGCACGGTCGATACGAGATTTGGGACTTGGCAGTCAGTCGATAGGGAGGACGCTTATTGTACTATGTGTATTTGTTATATGAGTATATGATACCCTGGCGTTATGGATAACATTAAGAGACCTATTCAACCGAACTATAGTAGCGTGCAATATAGTTTGGAGTGAAAAATATGTATAAGATTCAAGCCTACCTATCATGAGCATACTGGTTCTTGCCTATTGTGTCAGAGATACTTAATCCTATGACAGTTTATCAGCACTTGAACACATCATTCGCAAACATATATATAACTAGTCCACTATCCTAGAATAAAGAGTCACACCATCCACTCAGTACATACTACAGAAAGCGAGCGTCAAATATTTCCCAATCAGTAAATAGTTACTAGTACTCCCTCCATCAACCCCCGTGACTCAATCCCTACCTATCCAGGTAACAATCACAACATTGAGAATCCGCCCCCAAAATCAAACATCCAGCATACCCAATCAGTCCTAAATCACCCCCCCAGACCAAACAACTCACTAACTAGTCCAGAAGATCGGAGCCACTCTTGTCTTACTCAGCTCACCTCAGCCATCACACCAAACTGAACTACCTACCTAGTAGCGAACCAGCTAGCTAGTTAGCTAGTTAGCTACGTAGTCAACCCCATCTCCCCCCCCGTTTCACACTAATTATTGCATTATCCACATTCCACAAAGTAAAAGACAAAAATATATTCGACGGCTCGGCAATTACGCCTAGTAGTACTACCTAGATACTTTTCCATTTTTCTCTCATGATTGACATGGCTAGTAAGTAGTTCTACTTACCCGCCTGGCAGCCCTGAATAAAACCTACCGCGATCATGGTTTCTATTTTCGGGGTTATTTCGGCGAAACAACAACAAAACAAACCAAAACATCTATCTAGATTGGGTACCTAGACTACGTATTCCATCTTCTTCCATATCACTTAAACTTACTTATTATAGTCGATCCAGGGGTAAATAGAAGCGGTACGTACGGAATTTGGCTGGGGCTTGGATCTGCAAAGAATCTTGGCGCGGTGAGGGCCGATAGGGTCGTTGTTGATCGTTTCTTTTATTCTATTTTACTTTTATTTTTTTTGGCTGTGATTTTTAATTAGTATTTGGATTGTTTGTTCTTGGTACTAATGTTCACTATTTGTTAGTAAAAGTAGGGATTTGATATGTTTGATTGACTACTAGTGGGTTGAACCAGAACTAGAGAGAGTTATTAGTTAGTTGGTTGACCCCTGGTTTAGTAAGTTATGGGTATGATGGAGTGCGATCATAGTGGTTGTCATTAAAGTAAGTAGTACATAGTAAGTAGTAGTAACTGATAGATCAAGTTCGGTTTAGAATTGTGATGTGGCTAGTAAATAGTAATCCTACTAGTAGTACTCTTTAGAGTTAAGTTGAAGTGACAGAATGACATGCGTTGCGTTTGTGGCACAGTAGTAATGTGACCAGCATTAGCAGTAGCACAAGATATATATCCCGCATACGCATCATGAGTGCGCGACATTACTAACTAACTAATCCATAGTCTTACTACTCGGGTACACATACACTGACACCAGAGAATTAGATTCTTATCTTTTTATTCATCACTAATATCTATCTAAGAAGTACACACAGGGAAAAAAAAAAAAAAAAAACAAGATATGGTATATATTAATCAATCAAACTTTGTACTAAAGTATCAGATCAGCCAAGAGAGTCGGTCCAAATGTCTCACTCAAACCGTTCGCAGTGGAACTTTGGAAATGCAGTCCCGGCCGGAGAAACACACAAGTCGGAAAAAGAAGAAAAAGAGAGAAAGATCGAATGGAATGAATTGGCTGTGCGGCATATCTAACTTAGTCTAGTCTACTTAGTAACTTTACCCCACCACGCAATTGTCCAGAACCCAACCACACATCCCCACAATAGTAGAGAGGGGACCAAAGGGCAGGAGGAAAGAAGAAATGAAAAACATTTTGATGATGACGAAATCGTGCGTATGTCAGACTGGATCACTAACTGGTTAGTTAGTTAGTTAGTGTAAATTTAGTTGGTTATCTACGTACGTAGTAGTCTACCAAGTAACTAGGCGTTTAAAGTAATCAAGCCGAGGTGGAGGGAGAAACTGACTGACTGACAGACAGACAGACAGAGAGGGGTTATTTTGCACCTTGTTTAGTAAAACTAAATCGATTGGAAGCGCGACGCTTGGACATTTTACATTTTGCATTTGACATTTCATGGTCCGGTGAGTTCCTTTTTTTTTATTACACACATCAATGATCTCTTTGGTTGGAGCCTGGCGCATCTCTCGCATCTTTCCTCTTTCCGGTCATTTCTATGCATGCTGTGTGGTGGTGGGCTTTGACCATGTTCCAGACACGTCAAAAGTCTAGACTTACGTATCTTTGCTGGCTGACTAGCTAGCTATTATCTACTAGTATGGGTTCTATACGTCACATCAACCGAGCGCTTGGTCGCTCCAGTTGGGTGGTCCGTGATGCAGGGTAGATTGGATGGGTTAGTCGGTCATGCATGTTGGTACCTACAGACTGGTTCATACGTGCGTCGCTGATCTTGGAGGGCACGGTTTGCCGCCGTTGTCTGCTTGGCATTAGTGCTTTGCTCTGGTTGGGTTGGCTGCGACTGCCTTTCTGGTCGTGTGGAAAAAAACAGCCTTTTATTTTTATTAGTTTTGATCGAGTCTAGTCTCTGCCTGCAGGTGGTAGGACCCAAACGAGACAAGGCTGGCTGCGATAAGGCGCACGATTTGGTGGTGGCGGGTCAGGACTGTCTGCTGATAGGGAAACCCGAGCAATTTGGAATCGGATTGGCGATGTCATGATCGTACGGCGCTTCTTGCTGGAGGCTCATTAGCACCCCGAAAGTGGATGGCGTAACTCTCTCAGCCGCTCATTCCTGGCGCTTAAAGCTCGCGTACGTCCAAGACATGTGGGTTGGCGTGGAGAGCAGCTTTAGTCCAGGAGACAAAGAGGGGTCGAATGGGTAGGTCAGTTGGAGCTGAACGGCGGCCGGCAAAAGGTGGTCATTCGATTGGAAGGGGGGGTTGGTATGAGTCGAGAGGAAAAGGCTTCTTACTCTAATAAAAAAAAAAAAGAGAAACTAGTGAAGCCCGGTCAGGGAGCCAACAGATCATGCGATCGTGGAAGTGTGTTTCTCACCCCCTCCCATCCCTTCAATCCTTCGCTTCCCTTCTTATCCCGGTAGACTATGACCACCCCTGCAAGCCTTAGTAGTTAGTTAATAGTGAGAAACCCCGATCAGATTGGTAGTAATTTGGGAGGCAAGGTAGCAGTGCTAACTTGGTTTAAGGTGTTACCTCAACCATGTGGCCGGCTACCCACCTCGAACGGCTCCCATCTCGGCCACATGCGGAATCCTAGCAGGATCAATAAAAGTGCCACAGCACGTGGAGTTTATGACCCGATCGCCGGATCCTGGCTAGCCTGGCAGTCAAAAGGGTGTTTGAAAGTAGTAATTGTAATTGAGAGCCTCCCTGATGCTGGTGATGGGATGCAGGCGTATCGCCGGGTGCTCCCCAACGGGGAGCAGCTGCGTGGTCCCCAGCCAGGAGGGAGCAAATCCCCCAACGACAGCTGGCTGCGGCGGTACGTCGAAGCGCTGGACTGTGCACAGTTCTCTCCCTGTCTCCGCACGACATCCACGAGGGGATCAGGCACCGTGAAGAGCGGAAAAGATCCCAGGCGCTTCGGATGGCGGTCGCCGAGAACAGGCCCCATAATTCAATGACGCTGTTGCCGGCCTGCCAACCAACCAGTCCAAGTGTCAACCGCCAGTGCCCATGGCTTTCCTCCGGTGGAGCAAGGCAGCGAAGCTAAACGGACGGAGGAAATTGGTCAATAGGATTCATGTCCTTAGTCGTGAACGGAGATTCCTCGTGACAACTAGGGAATTTTATTGGACTTTTTTTTTTTTTCCTTTTCTATTTATTTTATTTTTTTTGTCTTAATTTTTCTTGTCTCCTCCCTTCTGTTTCTCCATCAGCGCGATATTTAGAGGGGGCGAGTTAATTTATTTGACCTTGGGTTTAGACTCATTTCAGCAAATATTGCTCATTTGCTCAGCCATTCTCCCCATAAGGAGGACGGGAATTTGGCAAGGTGGATCAATGGCAGTGCCTTCGAGGAGGATTTGTTCGGTTACTCGAGCGTCTGGCGAGCGGGCGGTTAATCCAATTTACATCCACTGCCTCCCGTGAGAGAGCGAGGTTCTTGATCCTGGCCGATCATTTCCGTGGCGGTCAAGGCAATCACAGGATCGGACAATCGGGCGCTCGCCATGCTCCGGACTCTGAGGGGCGCAAATAAACGTGTCACGTAACTGGTAATTGGTAGCCTGCTTAGGGCCGGTCCACGGGTCTGAGTCTGACCGTGTCGGCCAAAGCGCCTCCCTTAACAGTTAGCAGCAACCTTGACCTCATGGTGAGCGACCTAGCACCTTCGGACCACCGTTTCACCGTTAGCTGCTTTCCGGACAGGCAATATTTGCGATCCTCCGGATCTTACAGCCCCGGTCACTTTGGAAGAATATATGGTGAGGTTTCTGGTCCTTCTGTGTCCCTGCATCTTCTCGCACCCAATCTGCTGGTACCTCTCGCTCCTCGATCACTCCAACCCACACTAGGGAAGAATGATGGGGAAAAAGAAACCGGGCCGTAGTATACATGCTGATACCTGGGGTCTAGAATGCCTCAGGGATGTGATAATAGCCAGAGAGTATTTATGGAGATTACAGCGATCCTCTGGAGTTGACAGGAGGATCCGTGAGCTTGCAGCGATGCGCCAAGCTGTCGTCACAGAAAGTAACCTTTCGAAACGAAACCTGTCGATCTCCCCAGCGCATTGCGTTTGAGCATTGTCAGAATATAGTACGAAGGATGTATCCAATCATCCCTTCTACGGCGTATGGGAAAAACGGTAAGTGGGCATATGCTCTGCTGGAGGGGCGGCGCATCACTGTGTCTAAGGGGGGGCCATCTGGCGGAATAATCCAGAAAGACCCTTTTTCTTTTCTTCCGCCTGATTCTAGTTAGGTCTGCAAAGCCGGGCCATGAAAGGGGAGACGAAGCCAGAAACACGCGATGGCCCATTGTAAGCCCGAAGCGGTAAGAATCGGGATCCATAGCGTGGCTGGCGGCCGCTAAGGCAGTGGGGGCCAAAAAAGAACAGGACAAAAGTTCTGAGCCTGATGCATTCGCCAGAGGCTAGGCACGCTAGACGAAACAATGATCGGGTCTTATTGCTCAGCGTGGTGCGCGCGGGAAAGCCTCCCAGTGATCGTGGGAGGGAAGGGAATCCTCGAGGGGACGGTTGGTGGTATGGGTCCCAGCTCCCCCTGTTCCCCTACATTGCAATCCCTGGTAGGAGGATGAGGGAAGGAAGCATGCATCGCCCCGGGGAAGGAATGAATTGAACCGCCCATTGCTTATCGCCATGTGGTTCCGGATCTAAAAGGCCATGCCTCGCTATCATGACGATCTCGCACGACTCCACGTATGTCAGACGGCGTCGTTCGCAACTAGCTACCCAGCCACGACTGCCTTTAGCCCCGGCGGACACTTTTCAGACCCGCCTGGATATACGAATCAGGGAATTGAAGGTCCTTCGCATCCTGAAATTGGCCCCCAAACCATGCGGATTCGACAAATCCATCGACGCCGTCTCTGAAGGAAGATGAGCCGAAACAAACCAGAGCATCATCGGGCGGGGGGCTTGTTAATCATTCACTCGGTTCCTGTTACTGGCGGTGACGCTCAATGCCCTCAAGCCTTTTGGGGCTGGAGTTGTTTGTTTCTTCCCCCCCCCCAAAACTTTCCACAACCGATGGAGACTGGGGAGGAGAGAGAGGGGAGGCGAGAGGGGGTTAGGGTCGAGTAAACTAGTTTCAGCCGGTCCTTCCACTATGATAGGAGCTTGTTTCTGCTTTCCCAGGCGGCTCTCAGCCCAAAGCCCGCCATCTCCGAGTCTATTCCTCTCGTGGCTCGCGAAAAGAAGTGTTGGTTTCGATCGACGGGCCGGTTAGGGCGATACGATTGCTGATGTCAATTGCTAAGGTCTCCTTTAACCCCGTCATTATTCCCAGAGTGGAGTAGCGAGGGGACAGGGGGGCGCTTGCATCCCAAACTAATTCGAGGCTACTGAAGCTGACCAGGCCGGGTGCGATTGAGCTGTTGGGACCTTCACGTGGCGATGGTGCAGGACTATCCCCTATTGAGTACCCTGACTCAGAGCCGGAGGGAAGCATAATTCGACTGGCGTGGCCCATCTTGTCCGGAATAAATAAACTCAGAAAATGAACCGGATTCGCTCCTACTAGTTAGTAGTCAGTAGTCGTAGTGGTGACGGTGATGGGTGGTGAAAGCCGACAGCGTTGGGTCACCGTTTAAACGACTAATATTAGCTCAACAACAGAAATGTTCTTCAATGACGGACCCGCTTAACACGATGATGGAGATGGATGGTTCTCCATGCTCTACAATCATCAGACCACAAATGGGGGAAGCTTATGGCTACCAACAATGCGACCGATGGACATGATCAGATGAAGGGGAAGTTTCGTAGATGGGATCGTCCCCACGTCCAAGAACTATCCAAGGAGGTAACGCGCAGGTCAGTGGTGATTGTTGGGTTGGAGATCACAGGGAAAGGTAAAACAATAAAATAGAATAAAATAAAACATAGAAAGAGGGCCCTCTAGTTAGATGGAAGCGTCCGATGTGTGGCAGTGAAAAGAGCACACACAGACACACACACCTACACACACACACACACACACACACATAGCGCCTTTCATCGAGTGCGCGGGAGAGGATTTGAAAATAATAATAATAATAATAATACTAACCACAATAATATCCCGACCTGTCAGGAAAACCCCATAATCAAAACGGGGGGAACCATTTTTTTCAATTTTCAGCTACAAATTAAAAATAGCGAGAGAAATCCACGGTAATTCGTATACGAAAAAATCCAGGATAAGCGTAATTACTATTCCGATCTAGTGGCATAAGCCCAGCTAAATTACTCCATACATACACGCAGCACCCACCCTCGTTCTCTCTCAGGCATTGCCCACCCGCCATAAGCTGCCAGTCTCCAAAAGACGAACCACCAGGTAATCTTCGGCCCCCGTTCGTTGCGCTTATTCGGTCTCTCGCTCGTCTGGCTATCACTAGGCCACCAGGCGTTAAATACTCTCTTCTAGCCGGGCTTCTGGAACACAGGAAAGGGTTATCGAATTGATTTACTACTACTATCCATCTACCCGTCCGCCGTCCTGGCCAACCTACTACTACCACACTACTTACTTTCCCTGACTCCCGTGGTGGATATAGTTGCTGTCAATCCGGAAGGATTCTCTGCCTAAGCCTACTACCTAACTAACTGTATGTTCCGTACCCTGATTTGTTTTCCTTCGATCTACTTAGCACCTGTTGGTTTTTGTACTTCTTTCCTCATTTCCCTTTTCTTCCTTCATCTCTCCAACGTCTAAATAAAACCCATCCCCCATCGTTGATCTTCTACAATTTTTAATTCTTCTTGAATCATCTTCCTAAAAGATTCATTATCTTCATCCTTGTTATTCGCTCAGTTGTTGATCGCCTCTCTTGTTCTTGTGGTTTTGGCGTACTTAAATCGAGCACCCATGTTTTCCAGTGAATTCTATCACTCACCAGGCGACTCATTCGTTCGTCACAGACAGCTGGGCGATTCTATTCCACGAAGTTGGAGAGTACCATCACCAGCCTCGGCACCTTTCGTCGTTGATCTTACTCACTCTGATGGTGGTTCGGTTCCGCTGAAGTCTGAGACAACCCCATCGGATACCGCATCTGCGTCTACTCTTCCAGGCTGGCTTCCTGGTTTACCGAGTCCTGCTTCGGTCTACAGCTCTCCTCGGAGCGAAATATCCAGCGTTAGTTCAGGAGAAGGACGGAGTCATCTATCGCCTCTTCCTCCGAATCAGTACCTAGGCAGGGCGCCTTTTCCATCCGAGTTCATCCCACGGGATCTTGAACCAGCAGACTCATCTTCAAGACTGGCCCAAAGGAGTCCCTCGCAAGCCTTTTCACAAATATCACAGTATGTATTGAAAGAAACAACCATCTCTTCTGAGTGTTACTTACTGAAGACGTTTCCCTCCAGGGCGTCAGATTCTTCATTATTATCTCAGTCGATGCATCCCGGATCAGTAGCATTTCTGACGACTAACATGGCACACAACTCTCAGAGTATGTTCGCAAGCATGGCTTCCAAGCTCTTTGAAATATTGGCGCTGACGAGGAGCAGATTACGGTTGGCAAAACAGGCCACCCCAGCCTCTTCATCCGACTTCAATGCCTATGGATCAACAATCATATCCCCAGGCACACACACTTCCACCACAATCTGGTTACCCAGCAGCATATCCACCTCAGCATGCCACCTCACAGAGTTACTATCAGCCAGGACTCCCGTCTACACATTACCTCACCCCACAACCGGGTGTGCCCCAGAGCCGACACCAGCCTCGAAGGTACCAATATCCGTACTACCTGAGTTAACTGGGATAAAAATTGATTGATTTCATAGTTCTTCCATTCCATATCCTTATCCCAGCGCTTCCGTATCTGGCAGCCCACCTACCATGCCAGATCCCTCTTTTACATCAACGTGAGGAGACCGAGTGCATCAGGAGACGAATCGTATGGCTAACTTGTTCCTAGACCTCCTTCATACCTAGTCAATCAGCCAGATTACTACCTAACGCCGAACTCTTCACTCTCGTGAGTGGCCACGTTAGCCATCAAGTCTTCGTTCCACCTACTAACCATATTGCATTACCAGGCAAACCCCCAACTCTATTCCCCAACCACATAACCTGATGCCATCAGGGACAGTGTATTCCTCTCCCGAGTCCGCTCCCAGTTCCTCAGATCCAGATCAAGTTCGCGTTCTCAGTTTTCGGCCAAAGCCTCAATGTTGGGACCACGGATGCAACGGGCGTGAATTTTCTACCTTCAGCAACCTGCTCCGCCACCAACGAGAGAAGTCGGGAGTGGTTGCCAAAGCAGAGTGTCCCATTTGTGGTGCTGTGTTCACACGCACCACGGCCAGAAACATCCATGTTGCTCAGGGGAAGTGCAAGGGGGTAGCAAGGGAGCCGTCTGCCGAATAAACCCCCACACAGAGGCTAGCGTCCGGGGCCATGGAC